TCTCTCTCTGTGTGTGTGTGTGTGTGTGTGTCTCCAACGGGCAGCAGCGGCGGGCGGCATGTCGAAACGGCCGCTTTGAAATTGCGCGGGCCTGTGTGAAACCGCCACCCCAAAAACCTGCAGTGTCCTGTGTCCAGAACTCTAGGCCCTGTCCGGTGGGGTGAAACAACACTGAAAAATCACCCTGTTATTTTTCGAGGGGCGGCCAGGACCCGATAAACGTCCTGGGCCGCCCCCCCTTTTTTTTTTTTTTTGATTTTTGCCCCGGGGCCCTCCGTCCAGACATAATGACCGGACACTGGACATGTTGTTCCGGACTGTCTGGAACCCGGTCCGGACGTCCGGACGGTTACCATGTAAATTTGAAAACTCTTTTGAGTCTTTTCTTACTTTTAGTTTTTTATTTTGTTTTGGCCCGGCCGGGATAGTGGCCCCGGGCCACTCCGGTAGCCTAGTATGTGACAAAGAATGTATTATTTGAATTTATTTCATATTTGTAAACTCGTAATTTGTAAATATGAATCGTCCACCAAAAGACTGCCTTTTCGGGTTCTGGGTTGGCTTTGTACTGGTACTGTTGTGGATTCGTAGTCACTGTAGGCTATTATGATATTATTATCCCTCGTCTTCTGTTCTAGTCTAGCACTTGGCTTAACTTTGCACGTTTCTTTTACAGTATGGTATAATCTGCTGTGGATATTCGGCAATGTTTGCCTTTTACTGGAGTCATGGTGACTTCCCCTCTGGTTTCGGCCGGTGATGCCGTCCCGTTGGGGGACCACTACAACATTGTAAAGGGATGCCGGGCACAGTTCCCGGCTTTCATATGAAAAGACAAATGCCTGCCAGATGGCGGGCAACGTTGAAAAAAAAAAAGGAAGTGTACCGGCCATGGGGATTCAGAAAAAAAAAAAAAAAAAATCCCCAAAACAATCAAGCAATTTAGAAAATGGCAAAAGAAACATGTTAAATTTTGGAGTTAGGAACCAATTCAGGTTGTGACATTTCAACCAAATCGGGAGCACATTTTTCATTTATGGAATGGAATTACAATTTACAAGCGCATTTTCTTCCATTTCTTTTCTCTTTTTTTTCCGAAAAAAGTTTGTAGGGGTGTCGGGGATATTACGGAGGGAGGAGAGCCGGCAGGAGGCTGCACACACCGGGTTCAGCCACCTGGAAGGCCAGGCGGACCCACCCACAGACGGAGGTCGCTCAAGGTGGAGCGCACAAGGGGACAGGCGCCACCCAGAGTGCTCCTCTGGGGTGTGGCCCCCCCGAGCTCAGGGTCCTGTATCCCTGAGGCACTGAGCCGGGAGACTTTGCGGCACCACAGTCGCCGGGTGCTGAGGGGATAAGCGTCACTCCTGCGAGGAAGAGGCGAACCCCACACTCCTCCCGCGACGCATCCCCACTGAGCCCACCTCTCGCAGAGTCGTCTCCCCCCATGGCTTCCATGCAACCTGGGGGGAGCTGCTCGCTGCCGTTCCGGGTTCAGACCTGGTACTAGCAGCCCCTGTCCACAGTCAGAGCCCCTGGCTGCATGCACACTCAGTGTGGGAACGACTGTGTGGTGGTTAACACACACCGGCACGTATGCACTACCAGCGCATTTTCACTCTGCACCTCTGCACTCAAAAGTTGCGCGAGTGCTTAACAGTAGGATAAACAAATTGTGAGCGCGCTCGCCATTTTCCACCAAATTGTATTCGGCAAGCACTGTTTCTTACAATACAATAACAGTAAGACTGTAAGAGTATGTATACTCATCACAGTAATACTGTAGGGGCATGTATACTCACACTAGGCTCTCAAAAATGGCAGAATCGCAAGATGAGTGGCCAAGATCTAGTCCTCCTTTTAAAAGGACTGAATCTGGCCGCTGATTTTGCGATGTTGGGCTAGGAAGGACCCACTGGTGCCCCCCTGTGGCTCCCGCCGATACCCTGCCAGGTCAAGGGTTAGGATTGGAATTGAGAGAAGGGCCACCATGGGACGCTGGACCCGGTTTCCAGCATGGTGATTTTGTTTGATGGTTCATGCTACAAAAAAGATGTAATGGGACGCTGCACCCGGTTTCCAGCAAAAAAAAAAAAAAAAAAAAAAAAAGATGTTGTAATTTTGACGGCCTAGTGTGCGTATGCCCTAAAGGGCCTAAACGCATTGTTCAACCAAATGACATCATTGACATCCCTATTTCGAAACGCCCACGCTGTTTCCCAGAACATAGCACATGATAGGCATTGATAGCAGTAAGCGCATTTTTGAATGCCAAATTGCATGGTTATGTTGTCAAGCACTGTTTCCTAAAACATAACAGAAAAATAAAAACAAATAAATAAGTAACTTAGCACTGATAACAGCATAATAGTCTATTAATAGACACTGATGACACTTCACTCCACCAAAGTTGGGCAAGTGGTTAGCAGGGACAGGCTCAGGCAGGCCCAGTTCTCAGCCCACAGAGCGACAATTACAGCCCCTGCGCAATTACGAGGATGACACGCATAGATGGAGAAATGCTCCAAAATCTTTTACAAAGAAACAAAAAAAAGAATAGAAAGAAAGAAAAAAAGGAAAAAGAAAAAGAGATGTGACTCATGTGAGTCGATATGACTAAAGTAAGTTTTGACTTCGATTTATGATCCGGACGTCCAGATCCCAGTTCAGAACGTTTGGGTCTGGATGTCCAGGCGGACATCCAGTCCAGTAAGTCCAGAAGGGGGCTTTATTTTGGGTGGTTCAAGGCTGACCCCCCCTCAAGAAAAATGTTTTGGGTTTTTTGAACTTCTTTCTGGTCATTTCAGTTTGCCAAACAGCGCCGGGTTGAGAGTCTTGAGAGTCGTTGAGACTGATTCTGATTTTTTTTTTTTTTTTTTTTTTTT